GTTGTAAGACTGATGTTGTCATTAGTGGAGAGGCGGCCATGACAATGGATGGAGAGTACAGGCTTGTAGTGTCTTCGTGAAGGGCAGGGGGTACTTTTTCAGATATTTTGCTCCGGTGGGAGGGGGAGGGGAGGGTTGAAATTTCCGGGGAGGGTGATCAAACAATGGTTAAGGTATATTCTGTATTTAAATTTAATATATTTAAATTTAATCCGAGAGAGGGGGTGTCGTTGGGGGGGGGGGGGGGAGGGGGGTCTTCGCCCCGGAGTGAGGATTGCAAGAAAGACTGACTAAAACTTCGACGGTTCGTGATTCTAAACAAAGATAACCAAGACGTAGATCGCTGCTACTAGTGTGTTATTGTTCACCAGTGTTTCTTCCAGACTTTTTTCTCCGGGGGGGGGGGGGGGCACTTGAAATTTTCGGGGGGGGGGGGGGGGGCGGACACTGTTAAAAGTATATATTTTCAATATAAATTATATAAATTTCATTTCGTTCGGGGGGGGGCGGTAAAATTTTTTCGGGATGCCTGGATGAAACTCTGTGTTCACGACAAACGTATGTCAATCTGGAATAAACGTGTCGACCCAGGTGGCACTTTTGGCTAACACCAGGTCAACGTGACCTTACAAAATCAATCAGATTCTTCAGATATTCGGGTCAACACGTCACTAAAGATTGAATCAGATCCTTCAGATATTTGGGTCAACACGTCACTACAGGATGAATTAGATCCTTCAGATATTTGAGCATATAACAAACGGAACAAATTGGAAACTTCAAAAGCCATGAAATTAAAGATTTTCTAATGTCGCTGTCTTGATGTCGCCCACGCATTGATTAAACTTTATAATTAATTATTTTTAGATTTAATTAAAAGAATGAAGCAATGCTACCTCAGGGTTTTAAAGGACTGATTAGGTGCCACTGTACTTCCTGTACTCGAGTAAGCAGTTATTGAGAGACATGACTGAACTTTCGAGTTCTTTTATGCAAGAGGGCGGGGGTAGTCAGGGAAATAAGCTCAATTAGACATGGGTCAAGGCTGGTCAGTATAGGGTCAGGTCAAGGGTGGTCAGTACTGGGAGAGGTTAAGGCTGGGCAGTATAGGGAGAGGTTAAGGGTGGTCAGTATATGGAGAGGTTAAGGGTGGTCAGTACTGGGAGAGGTTAAGGCTGGGCAGTATAGGGAGAGGTTAAGGGTGGTCAGTATATGGAGAGGTTAAGGGTGGTCAGTACTGGGAGAGGTTAAGGGTGGTCAGTACTGGGAGAGGTTAAGGGTGGTCAGTATATGGAGAGGTTAAGGGTGGTCAGTATATGGAGAGGTCAAGGGTGGTCAGTACTGGGAGAGGTTAAGGCTGGGCAGTATAGGGAGAGGTTAAGGGTGGTCAGTATATGGAGAGGTTAAGGGTGGTCAGTACTGGGAGAGGTTAAGGCTGGGCAGTATAGGGAGAGGTTAAGGGTGGTCAGTATATGGAGAGGTTAAGGGTGGTCAGTACTGGGAGAGGTTAAGGCTGGGCAGTATATGGAGAGGTTAAGGGTGGTCAGTATATGGAGAGGTTAAGGCTGGGCAGTATAGGGAGAGGTTAAGGGTGGTCAGTATATGGAGAGGTTAAGGGTGGTCAGTACTGGGAGAGGTTAAGGGTGGTCAGTACTGGGAGAGGTTAAGGGTGGTCAGTATATGGAGAGGTTAAGGGTGGTCAGTATATGGAGAGGTCAAGGGTGGTCAGTACTGGGAGAGGTTAAGGCTGGGCAGTATAGGGAGAGGTCAAGGGTGGTCAGTATATGGAGAGGTTAAGGGTGGTCAGTACTGGGAGAGGTTAAGGCTGGGCAGTATATGGAGAGGTTAAGGGTGGTCAGTATATGGAGAGGTTAAGGGTGGTCAGTATATGGAGAGGTTAAGGGTGGTCAGTATATGGAGAGGTTAAGGGTGGTCAGTATATGGAGAGGTTAAGGGTGGTCAGTATAGGGAGAGGTCAAGGGTGGTCAGTATATGGACAGGTTAAGGGTGGTCAGTATATGGAGAGGTTAAGGGTGGTCAGTATATGGGGAGGTTAAGGGTGGTCAGTACTGGGAGAGGTTAAGGCTGGGCAGTACTGGGAGAGGTTAAGGCTGGGCAGTATAGGGAGAGGTTAAGGCTGGGCAGTATATGGAGAGGTTAAGGGTGGTCAGTACTGGGAGAGGTTAAGGGTGGTCAGTATATGGAGAGGTTAAGGGTGGTCAGTATAGGGAGAGGTCAAGGCTGGGCAGTATATGGAGAGGTTAAGGGTGGTCAGTATATGGAGAGGTTAAGGGTGGTCAGTACTGGGAGAGGTTAAGGCTGGGCAGTACTGGGAGAGGTTAAGGCTGGGCAGTATAGGGAGAGGTTAAGGGTGGTCAGTACTGGGAGAGGTTAAGGGTGGTCAGTATATGGAGAGGTTAAGGGTGGTCAGTATAGGGAGAGGTCAAGGCTGGGCAGTATATGGAGAGGTTAAGGGTGGTCAGTATATGGAGAGGTTAAGGGTGGTCAGTATAGGGAGAAGTCAAGGGTGGTCAGTATATGGACAGGTTAAGGGTGGTCAGTATATGGAGAGGTTAAGGGTGGTCAGTACTGGGAGAGGTTAAGGGTGGTCAGTACTGGGAGAGGTTAAGGCTGGGCAGTATAGGGAGAGGTTAAGGGTGGTCAGTACTGGGAGAGGTTAAGGGTGGTCAGTATATGGAGAGGTTAAGGCTGGGCAGTATATGGAGAGGTTAAGGGTGGTCAGTATATGGAGAGGTTAAGGGTGGTCAGTATATGGAGAGGTTAAGGGTGGTCAGTATATGGAGAGGTTAAGGGTGGTCAGTATATGGAGAGGTTAAGGGTGGTCAGTATATGGAGAGGTTAAGGGTGGTCAGTATATGGAGAGGTTAAGGGTGGTCAGTACTGGGAGAGGTTAAGGCTGGGCAGTATAGGGAGAGGTTAAGGGTGGTCAGTATATGGAGAGGTTAAGGGTGGTCAGTATATGGAGAGGTTAAGGCTGGGCAGTATATGGAGAGGTTAAGGGTGGTCAGTATATGGAGAGGTTAAGGGTGGTCAGTATATGGAGAGGTTAAGGGTGGTCAGTATATGGAGAGGTTAAGGGTGGTCAGTATATGGAGAGGTTAAGGGTGGTCAGTATATGGAGAGGTTAAGGGTGGTCAGTATATGGAGAGGTTAAGGGTGGTCAGTACTGGGAGAGGTTAAGGGTGGTCAGTATATGGAGAGGTTAAGGGTGGTCAGTATATGGAGAGGTTAAGGCTGGGCAGTATAGGGAGAGGTTAAGGGTGGTCAGTATATGGAGAGGTTAAGGGTGGTCAGTACTGGGAGAGGTTAAGGGTGGTCAGTACTGGGAGAGGTTAAGGGTGGTCAGTATATGGAGAGGTTAAGGGTGGTCAGTATATGGAGAGGTCAAGGGTGGTCAGTATATGGAGAGGTTAAGGGTGGTCAGTATATGGAGAGGTTAAGGGTGGTCAGTACTGGGAGAGGTTAAGGCTGGGCAGTATAGGGAGAGGTTAAGGGTGGTCAGTATATGGAGAGGTTAAGGGTGGTCAGTACTGGGAGAGGTTAAGGCTGAGCAGTATAGGGAGAGGTTAAGGGTGGTCAGTATATGGAGAGGTTAAGGGTGGTCAGTATATGGAGAGGTTAAGGGTGGTCAGTACTGGGAGAGGTTAAGGCTGGGCAGTATAGGGAGAGGTTAAGGGTGGTCAGTATATGGAGAGGTTAAGGGTGGTCAGTACTGGGAGAGGTTAAGGGTGGTCAGTACTGGGAGAGGTTAAGGGTGGTCAGTATATGGAGAGGTTAAGGGTGGTCAGTATATGGAGAGGTCAAGGGTGGTCAGTACTGGGAGAGGTTAAGGCTGGGCAGTATAGGGAGAGGTTAAGGGTGGTCAGTATATGGAGAGGTTAAGGGTGGTCAGTACTGGGAGAGGTTAAGGCTGGGCAGTATAGGGAGAGGTTAAGGGTGGTCAGTATATGGAGAGGTTAAGGGTGGTCAGTACTGGGAGAGGTTAAGGGTGGTCAGTACTGGGAGAGGTTAAGGCTGGGCAGTATAGGGAGAGGTTAAGGGTGGTCAGTATATGGAGAGGTTAAGGGTGGTCAGTATATGGAGAGGTTAAGGGTGGTCAGTATATGGAGAGGTTAAGGGTGGTCAGTATATGGAGAGGTTAAGGGTGGTCAGTACTGGGAGAGGTTAAGGCTGGGCAGTATAGGGTGAGGTCAAGGGTGGTCAGTATAGGGAGAGGTTAAGGGTGGTCAGTATATGGAGAGGTTAAGGGTGGTCAGTACTGGGAGAGGTTAAGGGTGGTCAGTACTGGGAGAGGTTAAGGCTGGGCAGTATAGGGAGAGGTCAAGGGTGGTCAGTATAGGGAGAGGTTAAGGGTGGTCAGTACTGGGAGAGGTTAAGGGTGGTCAGTATATGGAGAGGTTAAGGGTGGTCAGTATATGGAGAGGTTAAGGGTGGTCAGTACTGGGAGAGGTTAAGGGTGGTCAGTACTGGGAGAGGTTAAGGGTGGTCAGTATATGGAGAGGTTAAGGGTGGTTAGTATATGGAGAGGTCAAGGGTGGTCAGTATATGGAGAGGTTAAGGGTGGTCAGTATATGGAGAGGTTAAGGGTGGTCAGTACTGGGAGAGGTTAAGGCTGGGCAGTATAGTGAGAGGTTAAGGGTGGTCAGTATATGGAGAGGTTAAGGGTGGTCAGTACTGGGAGAGGTTAAGGCTGGGCAGTATAGGGAGAGGTTAAGGGTGGTCAGTATATGGAGAGGTTAAGGGTGGTCAGTACTGGGAGAGGTTAAGGGTGGTCAGTACTGGGAGAGGTTAAGGCTGGGCAGTATAGGGAGAGGTTAAGGGTGGTCAGTATATGGAGAGGTCAAAGCTGGTCAGTATATGGGGAGGTCAAGGCCTGTCAGTATAGGGAGAGGTCAAGGCCAGTCAGTATAGGTCAAGGCCTGTCTATGCAGGGAGAGGTCAAGGCCGGTGTGTGCAGGGAGAGGTCAAGGCTGACTTACCTGTGGAATGCTGGCGACTATGGACAGGAGCCAGGAGACGATGAGCATGAGTCTGGCCCTGGTGTCGGCCTCTGTGATAGACAAAGGCCTCATGATGGCGAAGTAACGGTCCAGGCTGATGGAGACCAGGATACAGGAGGACAGGTAGAAGCCGATGGCCCGCAGGAACATCAGCAGCCTGCAGGCCACGTCACCCGCCCGCCAGGCCACCGTCGAGTGCCAGGCGATCTCCAGGGGCAACACGATGAAGGTCACGATAAGGTCAGCGATGGCTAGGTGCATGATGAACATGTTGATCCTGGATTTGGTGCTCCGGTTCCTGAACAACGTGATGAAGACGGTCAGGTTCCCGCAGGCGGCGATGATGAACAGGCAGGCGTAGGCGGCTACAGACACGGCGTTGTCGTCCGTGAAGTACAACGCTTTAGGCAGCGGCGGAAGGCACTCGGTGAAGTTGGTCAGGATCTCCTCCTTGGTCAGCTGCTGGCAGAAGCTTCCGTTCCCCGGGGTGGGGGTGATGGTGGTCTTCTCATCCACAACCAGGACCTGCAGCTCGTAGGTCTCGTGACCTAGCGGCTGTGACGTCATTAGAGCGTGCGCGGTGGGAAGCGTTGAAACCGGATGTGACGTGGTTCTGATATCCGACGGTGAAGCGGTGGAGATGACGGTGGTTAGAACCGATGACAGGGTCGCCAACCACACGGCTAAACGTCGACGGCATCCGGCTGGAATCGTTGCCATGGTTACACAAATATTTATTTGACTGGTTTACGGGCTAATCGCTCACCGCAACAAGTCCGGTGCCTGACTCCCGTCACGTGCTAGGTCACGTGGAGACCCGTGGTTTGTCATGATGACGTAAAATTTCCTGGCCAAGAGAATAGAAAAAATATTTTGTTAAAGCCAGCCAATGCGCTATCAATATGTAATGAGTTAATGAATGGGAACAAAACAGAAAGAGAGATGTTATTTCTTTAGGCAAAGAAAAGATGACGTGGTAACATTATGTTGTCAATGTCTGCATATAAAGAGAAGATCGTGTAAAATATGATGTCGATTACGGGAGTCAAAGAAAAGTTGACATTTTACCGTCTGTCTGCGGGGGCAAGGTCAATGTTCCAAGGGTCACTGTCTGTGTTATACTGGCTACAGGGGCGTACCAAAATGGGGTAACCCCCCCCCCCCCTCTAACAGACAAATATCAGATCTTGTGCAAGCACTAACTAGCAGGAGTGAAGAGCCCCCCTCCCACCCCGACCCCCCGCCAGTGTATATGTTGCTATGGTTCATCCCCTCGATATCTTATGGCATAAATTTACATTGGATGAGGTGTAAGTTGAGTTGTTAAAACTTGACCTTGAGCTGGGCGGTTAGAAGCAGACGATCAACACCTGCAGACAAGTCTGAAAGTCTAGTGAGGCAGACGGCAATTCAAGCGCTGGTGCTCGTAGTGTTTTAATATAACAAAAGTTGTTTCCCTTTTTTTTATCTGAGGTGAAAACGTTCAGGGTTTTTTAAAGTCAATATCGTCGGGGGGGGGGGGGGGGGGGAGGGGGGGAGGGGGAATCTTTTGAGCCTCAGTACAGTCAGGGGGCTTGTATGTTAATGTATTCCGGAATTGGTGGTGTTGTGTACTTCATATCGGGAGGGGGGTGGGGGTCTTTTGTGCATGGAAATTGTGTCTAAGAATTGAGAGATGTTATTCGTGTACCTAATTAAGGTGGTGGGGGATCAGGTACACGTTAGTCCAGTAGGTTATTGCGTGCCGGTGGGGCGGGGGGAGGGATTGGGGGTCAGTCCAGTAGGGGTCCTGTCGTAGATCAATAGATAGGTTATCGCGTGCCGGTGGGGGGGTGGGGGCTGGGTGAAAATAATTATCCTCTTGTCACGCGAGAATCTTGTAATAAGAGAGTGCCACACGCCATAAATCAATGAAGCAAATGTTATAATGCAGCCATTTATACTATCCGTCCTTACCCGTTATAGGCCTATATATTTTAATGTTAAACTTGTTGGTGAAAAATATTTTATAAAAAAGCTATTAGTCAAAACGCTATGTGCTTTACTACACTACTAACTAAATAGCTAAAAATTCCGACACATTAAAAATAACATAGGTTACCAATACCTATTAGAAAAACCAAATTATTTACATTATTAGTCAATACAACACCATATTAAATGCTCACGCTGATTACGTGACTTAAATGACCGGCTGTTCAATGGTATTCATGTTATTTTTTAAATTTATGTTACTTTTGGCCGAGAAAATTGTAAACATTTCTTAGCGTACGTCTTGATAAGAAGATCTAGATCTAGATCTAATTCAAAATTGAATGAAATAGTTCATTACTTCATATTCTAAAATTAGAAAATGACGTCATTAGTTTTGTTTTCTTTCCGTAATTTAAACATGGGACGTCATTGTTTATTGAGTTCTTGTCACGACAATAAATACTTTTCTGGCTGCATAGTTTAAAATGTGTTTCTACATTCGAATATGACTTTATTTTTATTTTCCTGCTTTAAATAAATTTTAGTTTATACATTGAAAACATCCACCATATTATTTTCCATTTAAGTACATATGTTTAAGTTCTCCATATGTCGCTGAACATACTGATCACGTCGCCTAAAAAAACTGGCGGACAGAGAGAGAGAGAGAAGTGATCACATGGGCTTTTATATATTAAAATGTTATAATGCTGCAGTTTATACTCTAATCACCGTTTAGGACATGAGAATAACGCAGCTACGCAGCCTATCAATGCCTTATGCGACGCTGGTTTGGGTATTGGAGAATGTGGGTTGCAAAGACAGTTGCCTTGTTTGTGTACGCGATCACGTGGTTTTAAAGAATATGTATTCCTGTTAGAGTATGGGAAAGCTATTTTAACATGAACATCTTCTCACAACACATCCTCTTGTTCATGAACTTCTTAGCCAACCCAGTCACGTGATCATGAACAGCCAACCCAGTCACGTGATCATGAAGACAGCATTCTCTGGTTTCATCGGTTTAAATCTACACAACACTGTTTGTAATGTAGAACATTTTAGCCTCAAACCATCACACATACTGTGGTCTAATCAAACCACTTAAACCACACAGACTGTAATATAAACCAACCGCCTACATCATACAGACTTTAAACTTTAAACCAACCGCCCCCAGCTAGCCAGGAAATGCTCTCCACGCTGACTGCCTGTTTGCTTGACATTAATCTGTCTTTTCAAAAGTAACTCTTTTTTGAAAAAAATCGGAAACCTCTTTTGAAATTAATCTTATCTCTTTAAAAATATTTCTTGCCTTTATTATTATAACATGAAATAAATGTATATTATGAAGTTGTAACGACAAACTGCATGTATTTAATTTATTTAAAAAATTGCAATTGAGATACCAAGAGACCTAGAATAACATGCATGAAATTAGACCTAGCCTTAAGCCAATCTCTTGCGTATCTTGGCGCGGTTTTGAAATACCGTCTCCTAGCTTCACGGGAAGTGAATCAATTTTGAATTATTTTTTTTCCAGACGGGAATGAAAATAGAAATATCGCGAATAATTGTACAGACAAGTAGCAGACGACATTGTTTAGAAGGTCAAGAGTTACTTCTCATACATGATTGATGTAGGCTACTCCTACAGATTTAATTATCAGCCTTGCACAATCTTGAAGATTTGTTTAAACTTTTGTATAAAAATTTAATCGGTGTTTCCTTGACATTATTTGCGCTCAGTATAAACACAGCTATGCTGTGCGTGAATTGACTTAATTTCTCCCAGCAAAAGTTACCAAGCAGAAACCAGTTGACAGCTATAATGTGCGTGAATTTACATCAATTTCTCCCAGAAAAAAGTTACCAAGCAGAAACCAGTTGACAGCTATAATGTGCGTGAATTTACATCAATTTCTCCCAGCAAAAGTTACCAAGCAGAAGCCAGTAGACAGCTATAATGTGCGTGAATTTACAACAATTTCTCCCAGCAAACGTTACCAAGCAGAAGCCAGTAGACAGCTATAATGTGCGTGAATTTACAACAATTTCTCCCAGCAAAAGTTACCAAGCAGAAGCCAGTAGACAGCTATAATGTGCGTGAATTTACAACAATTTCTCCCAGCAAAAGTTACCAAGCAGAAACCAGTAGACAGCTATGCTGTGCGTGAATTGACTTAATTTCTCCCAGCAAAAGTTACCAAGCAGAAGCCAGTAGACAGCTATGCTGTGCGTGAATTGACTTAATTTCTCCCAGCAAAAGTTACCAAGCAGAAGCCAGTAGACAGCTATGCTGTGCGTGAATTGACTTAATTTCTCCCAGCAAAAGTTACCAAGCAGAAACAGTAGACAGCTATGCTGTGCGTGAATTGACTTAATTTCTCCCAGCAAAAGTTACCAAGCAGAAGCCAGTCAGGTCCACCCCAACACCTGACACCATACGTTACTGACAAACAAGGTATTTATATGCTAATAAAAAAATCGATTTTCTCCAGATCAAAAGACTCAATCAACAATTTAGCCTTGGTTTCAGATTTTTTTTTCCTTGGCGAATACAAAAATGGAGGAAAAACCCCAGAAAAAAAACCAAATGACTGCTTGTGGCTTTTCAAACAATATCTTCTGCTCGTACATTTCCTGGGGCAGCTTCGAAGGACAAAGTTATACGAGCGAGTTCTTTCCCCTTATTGTGAGTTCTTTCCCCTTATTATGAGTTCTCTCCCTTACGTAATACCTTTTGTTTTCAGTGAAGGTAAACAAAAACATTTCTGTAAGTGAGAAAACTGGGAAGGGGGGGGGGGGGGGCAGTGACGTCAGAGACTGGTTGGGTTTCGGATGTACCGAGTGATCCCTTGAAAGACGAACAAAACTGCTTCATAATAGAATAATGCTTTGTCGCGGTCAGTTACGTTATTCTATGCATGGTGACACTATATTGTATGTGTGTATATATATATATATATATATATATATATATATATATATATATATATACATATATATATATACATATATATATATATACATATATATATATATATATATATATATATATATATATATATATATATATATATATATATATATATATATATATATATATATATATATATATATCTAATATATAAAGCTCAATTCTGTAACGCATATGTTTGTCGTTGGCATTTCTACGGATTTAAGTGTTAGATCAATTATCGTGCGCGTTTGTCTAAATTTATGAGTTAAAAAATTACTATTAAAAGTGTTGGGAAATCATTTTCATTTTTCAAATTATAGTAATAATTGTCGGCATGTTCATTAAACACAAGTTTTAAAAAAATATCATCTTTTACAAAAATTCTAATTATGTTTTTATTTAGTCCTATAGCGCTTACTTCCCTTTGATAAATTAGGCAAAACACAATTACTTCCCTTTATGAAATCATTGCATTAGTTGAAAAGCATAATTTACTTTTTAATTACTTTGTTTTGGTGTTGGGAAAAAAATAATTACATAATTAGCGGGGATTGATCAAGTGCAAATGTTTTAGGTATTTTACGGATAAGCTTGGAGTATTATAATTGTTCATTAAATTGAAACAGGCGCG